CTGCTTTGAGCAGGGATGACCTCCTTAAGTCCCTTCCAACCCTGATATTCTATGATTCTAAGATATGCACAGCCTTTTGTCCCCCCCTCCCCATTATGAATTCCACAAACTGGTTTTAGAGAAAACAAAAACACGTTTATTAGAGGGCTCCGGGCTGGGGGTACAGGCTCTGGGGTGGGGCTGGGGATGAGGGCTTTGGGGTGCAGGAGGGGGCTCCGGGTTTGGGGGGGGGCTCAGGGCTGGGGAGGGGGTTGGGACTCGGGGTTGGGGTGTGGGCTTACCTCAGGCGGCTCCTGGTAAGTGGGGCTAAGGCAGGTTCCCTGACTCCACGCTGCGCCCCGGTAGCGGCCAACAGGTCCGGCTCCTAGGTGGGGGGAGGTGGGGACCTGGAGGTTCCACGTGCTGCTCTCACCCGCAGGCACCACCACCCAGCTCCCATTGGCTGCAGTTCCCGGCCAATGGGAGTGTGGAGCCAGTGCTCAGGGCGGAGGCAGTGCCCAGAGCCGGACCTGCTGGCCGCTTCCGGGGTGCAGCGCAGTGCCAGGACAGGAAGGGACTAGCCTGACTTCGACCTGCAGCACCGCCGACTGGACTTTGAATGGCCCGGTCGGCGGTGCTGACCAGAGCCACCAGGGTCCCTTTTCGACTGGACATTCCAGTCGAAAACCGGACGCCTGGTAACCCTAGCCGGGCAGCGCGGCTGCAGAGCCTCCAGCCCCAGATCACTAGGTGGGTGGCGCTGCCCCAGCCAGCCTGGGCCATGGAAGAGGGAGTCTGGGGGCAGAGTGTGGGCGGGGCCACGCCTGGCTGTTTGGGGAAGTTCAGCCTCCCCCGGCCTACAATACTCACTGCCCATGGATTTCAGAGTTCTAGGGCTGCTTTTATTAATGCAAGCTGAGGGGAGGAGTGTGCTCAAACTGAGCGAGTAAAACGGCAACTCAGCCCTTGGGGCACTCCACTTGATACCGGTTGCCAACTAGACATGGAGTCATTGATCAGTTCCTGTTGAGCCCAACGATCTAGAGACAATGAGACACTTGAACTTGCAGCATGTGCCTCTCTGCAATGGACTGTTATCAGGGCTACAATTTCACTCTTGTTGAGACCTGACACTATTTTAATTTGGCAACTGCATCAAGGAAACAAACATGTGGTAGCAAATGAAACGGACTTTGGCCATTGGAAGCCTTTGGGTTTTGCCCATCTGCCCTTTCCCTACCCACCAGAACACACCATTTTGTACTCTGCTGCTGTCCAAGTGAGATCAGGGCTTGTCCATACAGGAAAGTTTTACCAGTTGTACCCGAGTAATTACACTGGTATCATTAAACCACTATAGTATTTCAGGATTACTCCCCCTGTGGACACCTTTATTTCCGATAAGAGTGGCTTTTTCAGCTTGGTTGTCCAAAATGACAAACTAAACTGAAAAGGGCTATTTTATACTAAAATAAGTGTCCAAATGGGAGGAGAGGGGGCTATACAAGTTAAAGTCCTCACCTTACTTTATAACTTTCCCGTGTAGACAAGACCTAACTAGGTGCAAATCACCTCAGTCCAGTGTGTATCTGTAGAGAAATCCCACCCCCTTTGATTAAAGCACATCCCTTGGTCCCTTTGTGGGACAAACCTTTCAGCCATAGCCAGCAGACTAGAATCCCTCCAGAGCCAACCTACCCATGCTGCTCCTATATGATCTGCACTGACCCCTCTGAGCAAGGAAAAGCTTTCCCTTCCCCTGCAGTGCTATTGGCCTGAGGAGCTGATCCTGGTCTCCTCCATAGTAGTGGCAAGCAGTAACCATAGCACTGATGAACTGCCCCCACACTGCACATTGCTCTGCCCCCACAGAAACAGAGTTATCCTTCCCTTTGACCTATTTGTGGGCACTGAATGAGCACAGCTCAGGATTAAGGTCTTCCCCTTAGAGGTGCAACATCCCTGTGATGGGTTTCCCCTGGGGTGCCACTTGGAATTGGGGTACCACTGAGCCCACCTGTCCCACCAGCTGGGCTCCCTTCACATTGTATTGCTGAGGCAAATCAGCCAAGCCCTCAGGCTTTACCAGCACACAAACAGGTAGGAACATGCCTAGCTGCAGTTTCACACAGATGCTGAGATCAGCTCTGCATGAGAAAGCTCACCTAAGGAATTACCCAGCACTCAAGTGCATATCCCCTCTGGAATGTAAACCCAAAATTATATCATCTTGTGAGGCACAGATAACTATGCAGCGTAAGCTCATTGAAATTCGTCCCCTTCCTCAATGTGAAGGGAGATTGATTTAGTTGGGGATTGGTCCTGCTTTGAGCAGGGATGACCTCCTTAAGTCCCTTCCAACCCTGATATTCTATGATTCTAAGATATGCACAGCCTTTTGTCCCCCCCTCCCCATTATGAATTCCACAAACTGGTTTTAGAGAAAACAAAAACACGTTTATTAACTACAAAAGATAGATTTTGAGTGAGTATAAGGGATAGCAAATAGATCAAAGCAGATTACCTAGCAAATGAAACAAAACACACAAGCTAAGCTTAATATTCTAAAGAAACTGGTTATAACTAGCAAATTCTCACCCTAAAATGTTGTTTTAGGCAGATTGCAGAGGTTCTTGAAGGCAAGCTGCTCTTGCTTGCAGCTTAAAACTCCAGGTATTTCTTTCACAGACAAGACACCCTCCAGCCTAGGTTCAATCCTTTCTTCCCCAGTTCAGTCTTAGGCAGTCATCTTGGGCAGGCAGACAATGAAGAAGGAACCATGATTATGTCATTCCCCTGCCTTAAATAGATTTTACATATGGCAGGAATCCTTTGTCTTACAGTGTGATTCCCACCCCCCACCCCCGTCAATGGAAAAGTACTAATTTTATCATGGAGTCCAGTATCAGGAGACATGATCACATGGCCCTGCAGCCATAACTCAGTCTATTTACAGCATACACAGGAAGGCTTTCCAGGAAGGTGGGAGATTAGGTCTTTGAAGATGCTATCGTTTTTCCTGATGGCCCTTTCCAGCCAGCAATCTAGACTGATTGTATTCTGTCTCATGGGCATTCACCAGGTGTAAACACATTTGTAATAGGTGCATAGACCTAACTTCAGATACCAAAATGATACATGCATACAAATGAGGATGATCATATTTAGTAAATCATAACCTTTCCAATGATCTCACACAACCCATCTTGCATAAAATACATCTTAGATATGCTATAATCACATTATAACTATTTCTCTGAAGAATATGGGGCGTAGTGTCAATCTCAATCCCCCTTTGTGAAGGAGGGAGGTGGAATTGCTTTCTGCTGCTACCGTAGTGTCAAATCCTGTTCATATGGAAGTCAACGGCAAGACTCCTCCTGAATTCATTGCCTCAAGCTTTGGGACTTAGGCTGTCTATACTGGTAATTGAATGACAAAACTTTTGTCTTTCAGAGGTGTTTCCCCTCCCCCCAAAAATACAAAAGTTTTGCCATGACAAGTGCCAGTGTGAATAGCGCGTTGTCGTCAGGAGCACTCTCCTGCTGACAACTCAAATGCTGGTCTTTGGGGGTGGAAGTTTTATGTCGGTAGGAGAGCAGACAAACAGTGGCTACACTGCATGACTTTTAGCAACACAGCTGTAGCAACAAAAGCTGGGTAGTGTAGACATAGCCTTAGTCCCTCATTCTTGTGGGCTCAGCACAGAGAACATCATTTGTTTAAAGATCAGGAAGTGTCACTGACTTCATATCCTTGAGAGGCAATCTTTTACTTCCTCAGTAATGTGGAGGTCACACACCCTAACACAGGAGCTGTACACCCCCGCTCCCCAACCTCCTCATCTATGTGCTTGTAACTAATCGAGCCAGTTAATCCAGATCAGCTTTGCTGCCTGAACCATAACTGTAGTGCAGTGGATTTCCCTGTGACTGTTGTTTGGGTGGGTGGATGGCAGGGAGAGAAGAGAATGTTTAGCAGCCAAAGAGTCAAGTTATTCTCTTCCTTCTAAGACTCTAGTGACATGAATGTGCTGTGGGGATGTCAAGGGATATCCCCTTCCACAAGAGAGAGGTTGAAGCGCGAAGGTATTAAAATAAATCTGAATAATCACACCTATTATTTAGCAAGTCCACACTATATCAATACAGACCCCGTTGGCACTGTGCCCAGAAGTCAGTGAGCCTACAAGTTACAGGCATTACCTTAGGCCATTACTCACACCCATCAAAGGTAGAATGGGTGCAAGAAGAAAGTTACCCCATGCCTTCATGTCTGTGTACTCCTCAGGAATTCTGAATGATTTCCTGCCTCCTATGAGATCACTGTTTGTGTTCAGAGAAGTAAAGAGATACACCTCTTGCCTCCTCCATACACCTTATGAGATAAAATGATAAGAGGAATTTAAGAGCGCAATCATGCCCAGAGCTGGTGATAGCCAGGCTGTAAGGTGAGTGGAAGAAACAGGGAGAATAAGATCAAGGAATTCCAACAGGTTTGCTTAAATCCTATAAATCTTACTTAGAGAGGGAAAAACTGATAAGTAAACTTTCATTTAATTATCACTTTGCCCACTTCCCTACTATGAAGGTGAGGCACTCTTGAGAAAGTCTGTGGTGCTACATGGAGCAGCAGAATCTAACACGTACATCCAGCTTCCATGATCCAGCAATATCACCATGTACATCATCCAGCAGTGCTCCCACAGAACTCATTAAGAGGAGATAATCATCCTCTGCACAGTTACACACAGTAAGCATCCCAGGGACTTTTTCTGTTAGCGAGCAAGTAAATGTCTCAACACCCCAGACACTCTGCTTAATTACAAGTGTAATAGTCAGATAGAGGGTGATCACAGCAGCTATAACTGCCCAGGACACAGTCAGCATCAACACTTAATGATCACAGCATCAAATCCAGAGCCAAGTGAACTGTCAAAAGTAGTTTTTAAACAAATAACAAGTATTGTAATGCCTAAGTGCATTAATGGAAAAAAAAAAAAACGAGCACATTCCATACTTTAGCAACTGTAAGACCCAAGTCTGGCATACTATGGCTATGGTAAAGATATAGCAGAGATTGAAATGATCAGAGAAGGCAACTACATCAGTGACAAGCACTGCATATTTACTAATCCAACTGTAAAATCAGGGATTAGTTAGCATGGAACATACAGTTAAAGTCACTTGAATGAATTATTTGAGATGAAGGGTGAAGGAAAAAAAAAACAAAAAACAAAACACTGATGAGTTCCCTCTTTTTCACCCTATCCTGTAATAAAAGGCTATTTGTTGATGTTCATATCAGATACATTTAGAACAAGATACTTGTCTCTCCACCTGAGTAAGGGGCATGAGGCTATGCTCAATACTAAAGGTTTTAGAGTACAGAATAGACAGACCAGTCAGGGGGAGAGGTGATCTGAGAATTCACAGCCTCTTTGCTCGCAGCTTAGTGCACATTCTATTTAACCAAAGGGTATTTGACAAGTCTCTCATCCACAGAACATCATCTGGCTTGGCAGTGTTGTGGGCCAAGGAGACCAACCCTGAAATGCAGAATGCACCACAAAATCCAGGCCAGGTGAGAGGTGTGCCCTTATACACAGAACTTCCTCCCTGAACCAACAGGTAGGGACATCATCCTCTTTCTCTTTCAGATTCCTCTTCAAGACCCATGATGCCAACAAGTAATGTCTGCCATCTTATACTGGCTAGGCTGTGGGACAATCCAATGCAACCAATGATCATGAATTTATAGTTAGAGAAAACCACAATTTGGAACTATCAGACTGAACAAAAATTCTCCAGTGGGAAGGGCACCAGACTGGGGACCTTGTTTCAATTCCTCACTCTGTCCTGCTGTGTCATCTTTGATAAGTCACTTTGCCATTCTGTTCCTGCTTCCTCTCTCACTACTTGTTTTGTCCTGTCCACGTGGAGTGTAAGCTGATTGGGGCAGGGTCTGTCTGTAAATAAAGTGTATAGCACAACAGGGACCTGATCTTGGTTGGGGCCTCTAGGCACTACTGTAATACAAGTAACAGCAGAAACGAATTTAGGTAACATTATCTTATTACTGTTACATCTGTGCTATGCCCCCTCCCTCTTTCTATTGTCCACTAAGGCCATGTCTATACATGCAGTGCTGCAGCGACCCAGTTGTACCAATACAGCTGCGTGACTGCAGCGCGTCTGGTGAAGACGCTTTATGTTGACGGGAGAACGCTCTCTCATTGGCATAAAAAAAAAAAAAAACCACCTCTGTGAGCGGCAGAAGCTATGTCGGTGGGAGAAGCTCTCCCGTCGCCATAGTGCTGTGAACGAGCACTTATGTCGGTGTAACTTATGTCGCTCAGGGGAGTGGTTTATTCACACCCCTGAGTGACATAAATTATGTCAACTATAATAAGCTATCCAGGCCAGGTCTTCTTGTGTGAAGTTACCATACGACAGCTAAGAACAGAGCATGGCAAACCCTTTGTTTTTCTCCCCTGAAAAGCAGGTGGTCTAAACTAGAAGTGCCTTGGTGGAAGTCACATTTGATATCTTCCCCACCAATATATTCTGTGGTAAAAAGGGGGAAGGGATAGCTCAGTGGTTTGGGCATTGGCCTGCTAAACGCAGGGTTGTGAGTTCAATCCTTGAGGGGGCCATTTAGGGATCTGGGAAAAAAAAAATCTGTCTGGGGAGTGGTCCTGCTTTGAGCAGGGGGTTGGACTAGATTACCTCCTGAGGTCCCTTCCAACCCTGATATTCTATGAAAAAAGGATGCTACTCTGGGAGTTGGTACTAGATTTGTGTCATTCTTCATAGATTAATGGAAGGTCCAAAATTGTCAAGGGCTAAGAGAAGAAAGATTAATAGACATCTAGTGAAGCACACCTTTACCATTCTCATCAATTGTAAGTTAACTCAATTTTGGGTCACAAACCAGCAACTCAAGTCAGGCAGGAGGCTTGCTGTAGAGTCTGCATGTGCTAACACACACAAGCGCTGTTCACATCCTAGTTGTGAAAACAATTCATTTATTTCATTCCTTAAAAGGCTTTATTTCACAATGAAGCAAGACTCAAGACCACATTATGGCTGATTGAGTAACCCTTAGCAAACATCCATCCTGTCATCACAAGACCCTGTGATCCCATAGAACAATCTCAACTAATGGAGAAAGTGACCCCACCCCCAAAGAAATGTTCAAGTCAAGAACCCCTGAGGAATGCTGACAGCCCACTATCAACCCCAAATGCTCGCTGATCACTACTTTTAACTCCTTCTCCAAAGATGATACCAGCTTTAGCTACTGGTCTCCAGTTACTTGGGAAATCAAGTCTTCCTTTAAAAATCATCTGTGATATTAGGGAACCTTCTCAACAGTTTGTTCACTGTCTTTGGAGTGAAGTTTCCCATCTGGCCCAGGGACTCCTGTTTAAGTCTTTCCTTGTGCTCCACCTGAAACACAAAGAATTAGCCTCCTTTATTTGCTGAAGTGATTCATACACATACCCCAGCCATACTTCTAATGATACAGTCATTTCAAAAGCATATCATCTGCCCACTGAGTGAGATGAAATGGTACCAATTGCCTGGATAATCCTAAGGATTGCTTTCAGAAGCCAGTGACTGCTGTCTATTTGAAATGCAGCAGTAGTTGAAGTTATGTTGGTCCCAAGATATTAGAGAGACAAGGTGGGTGAGGTAATAGCTTTTATTGGACCAACTTCTGTTAGTGAGAGAGACAAAACTTTCAAGCCACACAGAACTCTTCTTCAGATGTGGGAAAAGTACTCTGAGCATCACAGCTAAATGCAAGATGGATCAGACTATTTAGTGTAAGTAGCTAGCATATAATCTAAGAGACCATTCAAGGTTGATTCAATGATCAACACCCCCCACAATGCACCTTGTAAGATCCATGGATCCTGCACATGCCAATCACAACATGTGGTGTACCTCATCCAGTGCACTAAATGCCCCAAATAACTATGTGGGTGAAACCAGACAATCACTACGCTCTTGAATGAAGTCACACAGGAAAATGATAAAAAACAAAAGCACCCCATCACCTGTGAATGAACACCTTCCACAAAGCAATCACTCTATATCTGACCTATCAGCCCTCACCCTCAAAGGAAGCACAACACTTTCAAAAGACGAGCCTGGGAGCTTAAATTCATAATTGCTAGACACTAAAAATCAGCCTTAAGAGAGACACTGGATTTATGGTTTACAACAGCAGTTGTCAAACTTTAGCAACTCGAGGACCCCCATTTTGATTTAAAAAATTTCAGGTGCCCCCAAGCCCCCAGCTCAGCCCCAGACCCCACCCCTACTCCACCCCTTCCCCCAAGGCCCCACCCCTTCCTACCCCCTCCCCATTCCCTTCCAGCATCTCCTGCATGCCAGGGAACAGTGTGCAGGAGGCACTGAGAGGGAGGGGGAAGAGTTAAACAGCGGGGGGCCTGCAGACCCCCTGGAGTAGCCTCCCAGACCCCAGTTTGAGAAATGCTGGTTTACAACAATCTGTAACCCACTAACCCCCCTTTTAATCCTATG